ACGCAGCAGTTTCCGGCACACGGCTGGGTGCCCCAGGCTGAAGCGTGCACCCGGCGCTCTCGGCCTCCGTCTGGAACAGGACTACCAAGCCATGGGCCCGGTCCAGCGCCGCTTGAAGTTGCACACCCTGCAGGGTCAGAGTCGCGCGTTCCATCCGGCGTCGAAAGCAGCCCAGCTAAAATGGCTACGAACCAGGAGATTGTGTAGCATCCCTCCGGCTGCACTGGCAGGCCTCGGCTATGCCAATCGCGAAGGACGTCGTCACTGGCAAATGAGTAAGTAGCCCAGCGTTGACTGTTAAAAATGGTCGGGCTCCGTGGAGGTCGCATCGCCCGGTGGAGCCGGCATGAGACCTTGTGCCCACTCTGCAAAGCCGGTTTTCGCTCAACGACTTAAGGGGTGTGTGCACCAGAGGGGGCCCCGCAACGGATGCAGGCGCCGCGTCGGGTCCACAGAGGCCCATTTGCGCCAGTGGCTGGTGTCGTTTCTTGGGCCTGGGTTAAGGTCGCCTCGTGTGATGCGACGTCTTGTGTGAAGATGCGACGGAGATGCCGTACAGCACACGCTCACACTGCCGGCTCGTTTCTTTTGAACTCTTGCAAGCGGGGCTTGGTTGCAGGACATGGTCTGCACATGAATAAATATAAAACCTAGCATCTAGCAAGCGAACCTCTAAGGCGATCCAGCTGTAAGGTCGCGGTTGGTCAGGGACGACTTTTGCTGATGGCCAATCCTCCGGAGGAGAGAGAGCCAAACGTGAACAAGGCATGGTCGATCTTTTGTGTCGAAACACGATTCGCCAGCGGCACCGATGGGTCGTCCACTTCTTCGAAGTTGTCCTTCAACTTCGCCATCGTGCCAATGCCGTTCTCGCTGCCGACGCACCGCTTGGCTTTCGGCGTGCTGGGCCGCAGCGCACTGCGGCGAGGAGCTACGCTTTTTTGGGCTGCTGGACGATGTCTCCTCGCGTGATGCCGCAGCTAAGGCGCATCAGGCCCAAGCTAGTTTTTTTCGCAAAAGTGAGTCCTAGCTGCAAGCCGAGCGTTCTGCAACACAAGAATAAATTCATGCAGGACTACAAGCCGAGACCACTTCGAGCCCAAGCATGGACTGCAGAGAAACTGAGCACAGCTTAATGCACGTGATAGTCAGATCCGGAAGGTGCCTTCATACCCCGTCGAGCATAAGCGATACACTATGCATGATTACAAGCCGAGTATATCTCAACAAGGCAACAGGCTCCTGTCGACGCTTCTCCGAAGCTTGACGTGTGACATGAAAGGTTTCAAAAGAGAACACTCTGAAATTCGAAAAGGAAAGTTTAAAGCCGGCAAACTCAAAAACTGCAAGTCATGCGAAAGCCCGAAAAACGGCCCAATGGAAGAAGGCTCAAGCAAGAACTGCCATGACTGACACACTGAAGCCGTCCGGTGACTTCTTATCAAAATTCGGGGCTTGGCGCAAATTTGTAGGGCTTGCTGGGTACTTCCTGGGTCAAGGTCAGACAGTCGTGGTAACAGGCCAACGATTTGAGGTACTCTAGTCCGCTACGTCGCAATTCCCGCCCGACCAGCAAAGACTAAACTCCAAACCATAGCGAATTCTTCCACTCCACAAATATATCAGTAAAAACATATCCTTCATTGAAGCATTTTATTCGAAGTATAAGAATTTTAAACCTCCAAAAAGTAGAAGAAAGACCAAACCCCAAACCGTACTTGAGCAGAAAAAGAAAAGAACTAAAACCTAAACCGTCGTGAACTTTTCCGGTGCACAAATATTTCGTAGAAACCGTGCTTCGCAATATCCTTTACGATTCAACAATGTCTGTTCATTTCCGGATAATTCATATGAAAGGAAATTTCCTCTTTCAAGGGTGAAGATGAACCTATGGCGAATTTGATCCTGGCATGAAAGCTGCGTGAGGCGACGATGATGACGCGACTGAAACGGCGCAGGCTGACGTGGCTCGCGATGATTCTGAGGATGACTAGGACGATGATGTCAAGGAGAGCGCGGATGATCATGAAAAACAAGCATGTCTGCTCGGGATTCACCGCTTTTTATTATGGGCCCCGCATTGCATCACAGCTCCGGCGGCAGAGATGGACCTGAGTGTACGGCAAGTGCTGACTTGCCAAGGGCATGCCGTCTCAGCATCTGGCGGGGGCAAAGGGCTTGCTTTCGCAGGCGAGTGGCCCTGAGTCGGTCGCGTCTTGTTAGCGGGGCTGCTAGAGGGCGAACCTGAGGCTTGGACAAGAATTCCCAACCGTTCTTAGTCAACTCCGTCCTTGGTGACAGGCGGCTGGTTGCTTCTACTCACTGGGAGCCCTGCCTGGCCACCCCTTCCCGTTTCGCTTTGGCAGCGATTTGCCTCCGAGGCTCAAATTTTTCGGTTACAGCATGCAAGTACAAAACACGAAACACCAACAGCTGCGCCTCATCCGGAAGCGAATCAGCCTGCCCAGGTTCGTCGTCATCGGTTTGTCGAGCTCCTACGCAAAGTTGCGAGAGTGAAATACGTTGGTTTGTTGTTTTGTGCTGAGGCTGCTACCTTTTCAAGGCCGCGAAGGCGGATTCGTCTAGCGAGGAAGGTGCAAGGAAAAACGAGAATAAAACCACAGATCCGAAGTTCGGGGAAGCTGTCGAGTATGACCGCTTCTTAAAAGAGAACCTCCGTTGCGCTGTTCTGAAAGGCCCAAACTCAGAGATCTGGGTGCCGCGCAATGGTGGAGATCACCAGAGTCCAATGGTCAGGAAACCTTGCAGGCGCTTGGCTTGGTGCACACCGCCATCATTTTTAGCGACGGTTGAGGGCGGCCACCGCGGCGGCTGCTGCTGCAGTCGCCACTTTCGCCAGGTCGGCATCCGATGCTCGGTGGAGTCCTCGACGGCCCTTGCCTTTGCCACCGCCTTTGCAGCCGGGGCTGCGGCTTCGGCTGCGGCTATCATGTCTCGCCTCGTGCTGCCGAGTGAGAGAGCCTCCCGCGTGTCGACCACCTTAACCAGGATGGAGGCCGTTGGACGAGCAATTGCTGGTGCTCTTCGTCCTTGGACCAAAGCCTAAGCCTGCACCTTGCGGAATGCCGAACAAACACTGCCAAAACCGTCAGCGGCTGCCTCGCGATGGCGGCAAACCGGCACTTCAGCCATCGTGGGGAGGGCAAGAAAAGAGGGTTGCAAAAAACCGTGCGAAAACGACTGCGGCGAGCAACTGTGTTGCAAGCTGCCAGATCCTGCAAAAAGGCTTTGATTGTATGACACGGTCAGCGTATCAAAAACTGCTGCACCTAAGAAGCAACTCTGCCAACATTAGCCTTCAATGACTCCAGCATGAAAACAAGCTCATGCCACGACTTGGCATACAGCGTTAAATCGTCAGCAAAGCGAATACATTGGTCAAATTGAAGGCACCACCAAAATTGGATGCCATGGTCGAGCAAACGTGCCTTCCATAGCCTGATTGCGTGTTCTTTGTTTGTAGCCCAGCATTGTACAAGATGCGGCTGATGACGTCACCTTGCTTCCGTCCGCGTCGAATTGGAAAAGCACGGCTGTCAGAGACAGACCCTGTCTGTTGTGAATACAACGTGGTTAGCAAACCGAAACAATCAGAGGGAACTCCTTGCGCTGGCAATGCTTGGAGTAGGCTTCGATGATGGATTTGGTCAGAAGCTTTGCGTACGTCAATGCCGGCAAGCTAAACCTCCCAATTAAATTCGCTAGCCGTTGCACAAACACAATCAAACACACAATGCATGATCAACGCCACAACCGGGTCGAAATCCCAGTTGCTCGACTGATTGCTCTTGGCCCAAAAGTGGCTGCAACCGTCCATATACCAGTTTGGAAAAGACTTTGTAAATTCGTTGGGGTGACACATGTTCACCGTCGTCCACATCTGAAGCAAAAATACCGACAGATAATTAGCACATTTATGCGGAGCGGGATCCTGGGCATGAGCAGATAGCGCAGGTTTGATCGGATCATGCCGCACGGACTCCTAACAGCTCAAGTCCCTAAATTCCCGCAGCACACCGCCCAACTTCGCATTTCGAGGCTTATCTCGCGCCGAAACTCTGTACGAATAGACTTGGACAATCTGCAGTGTTCAATCTTGTGTCACGGCAACCACGACGAAGATTCAAATGCCGCAGGCTCCGTTCCTGCCAAGGCTTGGCAATGCTCGGACTCGTTTGCAACTGACTTTCGTGCCGGCCCGGCTGTTTTAAATAAACCCCCGATGCACCTAACCACCCTTTATCCGGCTTTGGGGTCCCCATGAATGATCTGTGACCCCCCGGCGGCGGGCAGGCCGCTCTCGTAGTTGAAGGTGAAGGTGCGCGTCTTACCCAAGTTGGCAGATGTGTGGTGTCCGCGTCGACCGCTCCTTGTCACCGGGTTTTATTTTAATATCGTCCCAGAATTTCTGAAGCCTCGTGTATTTGGTCGGAAAATTGAGACTGTGAGGTATGTGTTTCGTTCGCTTTGGATGCGTGGCTCCTAGAACCAGCAGCTGGTTCCCGAAATGCAAATTAGCAAAAGTGAAGCACGCCTAGCCGGACAAAAAAAACGTGTGCAACACACAGTGCTGCCACCCATGCCTCCAGTTTCCGTGCCTATCAGGCGGATGCTGGCAGCGTCGTAAAACCGCCAGCAATAACTCACTGGGGATGAGTAAACAAACAACCTCGACACACCAGATGTTATATAGTGTACGTCTATGGTGTTGAATTGAATCATTCGTCCATCTATATGACAGCTTGATTTTGTCTTGGGGTCTGGCGGTGTTAGACCAGTAACAGGCCTGGCCTTTGTTACGACCACATGCATTCATTTCGCGGCGCTCTCCTTCAAGGCACGAACAAGATCGCAGCATCTTTACGCCATATGCAAGACCTAGTCGAAGCCACTCGATGATGTCAGCAACCCAGAAGAAAACAACACAACCCCACATAACAGGTATTTCGGCAGGCGCGGCTCTTTTTCCCAAGCGCTTGTCACATGTGGCTGCCCCATTCGGGATGATGGCCTGAGTTGGCAGCATCATGGCATCGTGCACAACTGCCACCATGCTACTGTTTCATTTCATGTTCACGAGCAGGCTCTTCTTGAGTAGATTCGGCTTAGCAGGTGCATGCTGCTATGGATGCTCCTGCAGTAGCTAGCAGTAGCTAGCACGGCCACCACCGATAATCTTGCAAGCCTTCTACTTCCCTGCAGTCTCGGATAGTCTGTCTGCTTCAGAGGCGGCTGATCCATGCAACCTGTCTCCGGCCCCAGGGCCCTAGCCGTAGTCGCCGACATCGCCGCCATAGGCGGAGGCCTTTGTTGTCTCTTCAGCTGAAAGAATATGTAGTTCCTCAGTCTGGGCTTTAGCACTCACCTCGTCTTGCAATGTTTGCTTACAATGTCCATGGAACATCGCAGAGTTTTATCACTCTTGTTTATCGACACCGTCGAGAGTGCAGGCGAGTCTCTTGATGCCGAGCTGCATGATGCATCGGCGCAGCCCCCTTCTGGCCTTGTGCACGTCTTCACGTCTACTCAGTCTCTATCGTCTTGCACTCAACCTGCCGACTCTTTCGGTGCCTGAGCCATTGGAACCATCGCATGGGCCCCATCTGCAAGTGGCAGCGCTTGGAACAGAGGCAGATCATCTGAGGGCTGTTGGCAAAGACGCAATGGCGCCTTTCGTCCCACTCTGCCTGCGGAGACCAGTGGCCCCAGCCTAGTTCGCATGCAGGGACAGCTCATCTGCACGGCGGTGATTCGATGCTATGCCATGGACTGATGTTCTAACACTAGCACGACAACATCGTTCGCGTGTCGTACATGTTTTTCATGGAGCATGCGTCCAGGCAGGAAAACTGGATCTTGGTCATGCCTCCTTGTTGGTCGTTGCCGTATCCGTGCCACTGTTCCTGTGCTTGCTGGGAGAGACAGGGACTAGCTGACTAGCAAGAGCTACTCTTCGGCAAGCGGTCGTCCTGGCTCGCTGCCGCGTGGCTCCAGGCATCCATCGACCCACCCTTGCCTGACTCTCAACAAGATCAGTCTCGTTGAAACTATCGTTGCATCTGGAAATATCTTGATAGCAATGGCCACCACGGAGATCCGCTGCGGGTTGTCCGGAGCATGCTGAGTGCGATGTGTATTCTTGTATTGGCTTCTGCTGGACGACCGCCAATCGCCGGCAGTGTCCTGCGGTTGTCTTCTTCTTTGCACGGCTTCAGGCGAGCCACTTTGTGGCACGACACGCCACATCCCGCAAGGCCGTCTTGCAGTCTACTGCGGTGAGTTGGCTGCCTTCTAGGGCTTCGTTTTGCTTGGTCGTAGCAACAGTCTGCTGCTCCATTGCACACTTCCGGTCTGGAGCAAAAACCCGGCTCACGATGCCGATGCTCGGTCATGCAAAACCCTGATTCCTGAGGTTCCACTCCGTTCCACTCAGCACGGGCCCCTCTTTCGAGATCCATGGTTCCGGCTTAAGGTCCAGATGGACGAATTCCCGAATAGCCAAAGAGACACGCCCACACGTCGTGAATTTCGGAAAGAATGAAGGGACCCTAACAGGCCCTAACACACATGATAGGATCCAGTTTACAAGGACATACAAGGACAGTCAAGAAACCAACAAACGTGGACCGAGGCTGCGAGTGGTGTGCTGTGCCAAGCGGCCCTGGCTGCGCACATCAAAGCCGTTCCCGCCGCTGCCATGATCTTGGCGGCCTGGTGCAAGCACTCATCATCGACACTAGCAAAGGCTAGGTTGCTCCGAACTTATGATCGACTTGACTGCTGATCTGTGCTAAATCGATGCTAAATGCGGGTGCATGACAGGCACCTGTGTGAATCACTCCGGCGTAGTCTGCAGCCTCCGACCAGGTAAGTTTCTTCAAGCACTCGGCACACCGTTGAGTTGGATGCATGTTGGACTCCGGACTAGGGTGATTGGGGGCTGGCTACGGGAGTATTCGAAGGAGACCTACTAATGCCCCTATACAGGAGCTGACAGGATTCGGGCCTGATGAGGACCCTGCTGGTAAACAGCACCACTAGCAGCGCTGTTGCCGTAGTCCCAGCTTTCTTGAGGCCAACTCTCATCACCGTGTCCGTGTCCTGTCGTGGCACTTGCTGGACAGAATGCTGCCAGATTCCAAACCCTGCACTCCGCCAGGTTTGCAGAGGAGTGCTCTTGGTTTTCGTTCGGGCCTGTCACAGCGGGAGAGCAGGGGCCTTTCCCGAACTGGCCGCGGCATGGCTGAGGAGGCCCCCAGTCACCTGCGTGGCTCACCCCAGCTGACCACAATCCAGAACTCATCCGCAGCGCCTTGGGCCACACCCCACTGATGCCCCTCGCCCTGCCAAGCAGAGGGATCATGCCAACCTGCCAGAAGACACGGTATCCTGCTGCAGTATCAGAACAGATCAGAACGAATGCCGGAGCCTGACCATGACGACATGCGCAGATGATTCAAGAAAGCCGCCTCCATCGCAGGCACCTTTGCCTGGTGTCCAAGTGCCGGCATCCGGCGCCTCAAAGTGAACGCTGCAAGCCGAGCAACCCATTATGTCCTCAATCTTTCCCATGGCCTTTCCGCCAGGCATTCCTTTGCCGGAGCCTCAGTGCAGACCGAGGCTTCCGGGGCGCCCAAAACTGCGGCGGTCAGTGGCTCTGGCCCATGCCCTGACCGGTCCACCCAGGCGCAGGCATCGGAGGGACCTGCTGTTCAGTCCAGAGGGAAGCTGACGAGTTGGAAGTCAGCTGAGTCTGAGACACAACCCTACTTCGCCATCCATCAAGCCTTACATCCTCTGGCGTGGACGTAAATTCGTCTACAGTCCAGTATCCTTCTAAGAATCTTTTTGGAATGAAAGCTGTTTCCCAAACTCACTCAACATCGGAAGACTCCCTTTTCGATGCTGCAAATCTAAAACCCCCGTTCCAGGATCTGGTCAACACCTGTTATCAGACGTTCCCTTTCTGCCGGCCTGGCCGTGCATGGGTCTCACGGCATTGACGGGCCTCCAGCGGGATTTGAAGCTATCTGCAACACTGCAGATGCGGTAGGATGTAAAGCACAGGATGCCATAGGGGCACTGCACGGGGGCAGCATGCTGATGCGGAAGTGGCGGTTGTGGCGGCATTGCCATTCCGAAGCCCGGCCCTGGCCCTGGCCCTGCATGGAGCTGAGACTTTCAAGGCGCCAAATCTTGTACAAGAGGCGACTTCAGGCCCGCCTGCGGCGGCGGCCTCGTGGCTCAGGAAAGAAACCTGATTTCTTGCCCCAGCACGCAAGGCTTCTCTGCGCAAACTTCGTGCCTTGGGCGCAGAAAGATCTGCCAAGAAGCCACCAACTCCTTGGCGCGGACCACGCACTCCGGAAAGCCCACGATGACCACCTCCGTCGCTTCACACCAGGCACCCCGCATTCGATTTATCACTGACAAAGCCGCCTTGTTTCCCATTCCAGGTGTCGGCTCCTTCACCTGGAAATGCGCTGTCGACAATTTGTTCGAATCATCTGTATGCAAACAGGACCCACCGAGGTACGAGCTGCCAGGTATGCACCACTCTGGTCCTTCATGTTGGAAATATTTTGGCCTTCAGCTGTCTTGATGAATGGCCAGGGCCCTTTTTTCCAGGTCAGGGCAACCAAACTCCGATACATGACGCTGACGAAACCGATGATCTGCTAATGCTACTACCACGAATACTACTTTCTGCTACTGCTACTGCTACTGCGACTGCCACTGCCACTGCTACTGCTACTGCCGCTGCTGCCGCTACTGCTACTCCTACTGCTGCTGCTACTACTACTACTACTACTACTACTACTGAGGCTGCTACTAGTACTACTACTACTACTACTACTACTCCTCCTCCTACATTTACTCCTACTGCTACTACTGCTACTCATACTTCTACTGCTACTCCTACTCCTACTCCTACTCCTACTCCTACTCCTACTCCTACTCCTACTCTTACTCCTCCTCCTCCTACGACTACTGAGACTACTACTACTACTACTACTACTACTACCACTACTAGTACCACTACTACTACTACTACTACTACTACTACTACTACTGAGGCTACTACTAGTACTACTACTACTACTACTACTACTCCTCCTCCTCCTACATTTACTCCTACTGCT